TATCCTGGACGTCCAATGTTTACTTGGGAAATCAAGGCCACTGTACCTGTGTACACTGGGCCTCACCCCCCATGTATCAATCTGTTGATATGTTCCTAGGCAAAGGGAGACAAGGAGCCTCCGGGAACACCTGGTACCTCTTCCCCACCCCCATCCTGCAGGCCGATGCCCTCCAGCTATAGCCTCAGCTGCTCCGAGCACTGCAGGGCTGCTCCAGTCTGGTGCCCAGAGTCCAGAGCAAAGCAGCCATTTCATTGGTCACATTCCTTCCCTGGTGAGTGAGAGGCTTTGGTTCTCATCTCTCCCTGCCTCACTCTTTCTGGGACTAACCTGGGGGGAAACTGGGGCAGGCTGAAGGACAGCAGGTAGAAGGAAGCAGCAGGGAGAGTCATCCCCAGCCCGGCCCCCCAGGGGCCACAGCTCCCTGCTAACAGATAGGACTGAAGAAGGGGTGGGAAGACACAGCCACCTAGGTCACAGGTTTGGTGGGAGTGCCACACCCTGCACTGTTCGAAAACAGTGATCATGGTAATAACACCTCACACCTGGCACGAGATGCCCTTGACCCCCTGACCTCCCAGGTCCTCTCCAGGGGTATTCTGCCAGCACTGTTCATCCTGGAGAAACAGGGCCCGGAGAGGTGTCTACCCAAAGAGCGAGACAGGAGACCGAGAAGACGCCACAGTGACCAGGGTGCTTTCCTGCCCATCCCCGGCACAGAATGACCAGAGGCACTAAGCCAAGGGGCAGGGACACTGAAGCCAAACTCTCATGACCCAGCCCCTGTGAAGACACCCTTCCCAGGCCCTTTCTGAAACCCGAGTTCCCATGCCTAGCATCTGTCACCTCCATGCCCATAGCAAGAATCAGTGCCACTCAATCCCAGGGCATACTCAGAGGGCTGAGAGGCAATAACACCTGGATGCATGGACCATTCAGAGTTTGATTTGCCAAGAACTCCTATGCTAGCTGGAGTTGGGGACATGGATCACGGCAGGTGTTTATACAGAAAAAGAGAGGACGGTTTCAGGCCAGGTTTGAGTTCCCAAGAATCCGTAGTAAAGTGAACACTTAGGGTCTGGTTGGCTGAATTGCAATGTCTAAAACAGGGCAGTGCTTGGTTGGAGGTAAGCGAAGGTCAGGCCTGGGTGCTGCTTTCGGCCACGGCTCAAACAAGAGCTCAGAAGGCATGCTGGGAAGAACCAAATGCAGATGACAGTGGCACCAGACACCGTTTACTGAGCACCTAGCTGCAAGCCAGTGGCATGGTTAATGTTGGCGGGACATTTTCTTATGTGACTCTTGCAATAATTCCTAGAGGGAGGGACTGTTATTATCCCTATGTGACCGAGGAAGAAACGGACGCCAAGTGGTCAAATGGTGCCACCGAGTCTCGGGGCTCAGCACCCTTGGCAGAGAGGGCTGCCTTGGTCATGTGCAGGCTACTGCAGAATTAGTACTGGGTGGAGAGGAGAGCGGACTTCTGAGGTGGCGACCCTGTCCCTGGAAGGGCTTGAACAGACTGGATGACAGACTGGTGAAGGGACCATGGCAGGCACTCATGTGCTGGGATTCCAGCTGGTTGCCACAGTTAATTCTTTTTTGGGGGGCAGAGGTTTAGTTTCTTGAGACAGAGTTTCTCTGTGTAGTCCTGATTGTTCTGGAACTCACTCTGTGTAGCCCAGGCTGCCCTCAAATTCAGAAATCTGCCTGCCTCTGCCCTGAGTGCTGGGATTAAAGGTGTGCACCACCACCTGGTGGTTAATCCAGTTTTTAAGATTTTCTTTTTTACTGTGGTGGTGGTGGTGCGCGCATCTTTCTTTAATCCTAGCACCTGGGAGGCAGGGGTAGGCCTCGAACTCACAGAGATCTGCCTGGCTCTGCCTCCCGAGTGCTGGGATTAAAGGCATGCGCCACCACCCGGCTTTGTCAGGTATTTTTGTCACAGCAACGGACATGTAACTAATACTTCTAGGCTGGGATATGGCACTCTGCTCACCCTGGCCCAGCTCTTCTCCACCACAGACTGCCATGGCTTTTAGCACGACCCCTTTACCTCCAAGTAGGATTTCACTTCAAGGTACTTGTCGGAGCACCCAGTACTCGGGATCCTTTAACCTGACCTGACCTGAGAGGTCCTCCTAACCTGACCTGACCTGAGAGGTCCTCCCACCCACAAGGAGAAATCAAGGCAGGCAAGGTCAAGCCTCCCACACACCTGCCCTGGCCCCTCCCATGGACAGAGGGAGCTGTCCCTGAGGATGTACAAGAGAATAGGAGCAGGGTGGGTCTGTGGGTGCTGGACAGGCTGGGAGGTGCAGGGTCCTGGAATTTCGAAGGCTTTCTAAGTGGGGCCACTGGAATGCAGTTCTAGGAAGAATGGAGTCATTTGGGCATGGGGAGCGGTTCCCAGTCAGGCCAGGCCTGGCCCAGAGCAGGGGTGGGATGGGGTAGGAAAGACACACGACTGGCATGCAGCCCCAGTACAAGCCGTTAATTAACTCATAGCCTGAGGTGAGTCTCTTCACCTCCCGGCCTGTTTCCTCTCCTGGACACAGCGATAACAAAACCTGCCCAGGGAGGCCTGACAGAGACAAATGGTCTCAACCTCTGTGGAAAGCCGCTCTGTGTGTATTCGGTGAGGCCTTGTTATTACACGGGGATGGGTTTGGGGAGGGCCTCTCCGGTCTGACCTGAAATGTCACTCAGACAGGATGCTGGATCCTGTCCTTTCCTGAGGGAAGCCCAGGGGGCCAGCGGCGCCTGCTTCTAAAGAAGGGAGTGTCCAACCGCTAATGTTGGCTGATGATTTTTGGACAACATGGCTGATTCCATCTAAGCTCCAGCCCTGACTGTTGAGGGACAGGTCCCACCACAAGGACAGCTGTTACCCTCCTGGGCACTGCGCCCATTCGCCTGTCCATCCCTTCCTGTAGGAAAGCAGTCCTCTCACACTCTACCCTGTCCCTGGGAGAGGAACATTCCTTAGTGGATGTGGGTCAGAGGCAGAGGGGGAAGGCTGAGGGCCCCACTGGGCTGGGGTCCAACTTCTGGGGCCTGTGTCTTGGACTTTCCCACTGAAGCAATGGTGGCTTGTTCTGGGGGACCCAGGGAGTCAGAGCAGCCTTTGGAACCAAGAGAACAAGGACAAGGCTCTCTAAAGGAATGCAGCAAGTCTAAAGTGGGGGGCCTCAAGAGTGGGGACAACTGTGGCTTGTCGTCCTCAGGAACAGCTGGGCTCCTTGCTTTTCAGACAGGACCTTACTATATCTCGGCTGGGTTGGAATTTGCTGTGCAGACCAGGCTTGTCTCAAACTCAGAGGTCCGCTTACATCTACCTCCAAAGTGCTGGGACTAAAGGTTCACGGCGCCATACTTGAAATCTGTCTACTTTCAAAGTGGAACCCCGTTCATCATCTGGCTGGCTACTTGTCCCATTAGCTCCGCATCTTCCAGGTGCAGAGTGAGGCCCACTTGCTTAACCCTGCAGAGTGGCAGAGCCAGGGACAGAATCTGGTCTCCTGACTACAGCAGCCTCTGGCCACCCCTCGGCAGTGTGGAGGAATCTGGAGGACTGGGGGTGTAGTTCAGCATGGACTGTTTGCCCTGGGTTCCATTCCCACAGGGGTAGAGGGAGAGAAGAGAAAAAGGGCAAGAGACGAGGGGAGGGGGGAAGCCAGTCTGTCGGCATGGACCCCTAACTGTTCAAGTGTGGCTAGGGTCCCAAGGCCTGATCCTGGCACAGCCCTATCTCCTCCACCCTGTCCCCCTGGGCCTCAATTGACCTTCCTGTGTATAGACACAAGCCCTCCTGACTGGAAGCCGCAAGAACAGAGGTGTGTGCTGGAGGACACAGGAGTGGAGGCTGCAGAGGCCAGGAACACTGCCACAGTGCCCAAGTGAGTCTGTTCTGCAGAGTTATCCTCCGGTTCAGAGATCAACAGGGCGGAGGAGGGAGAAGGGTCTGTGGCCAGCAGCTCCTGGGTAAGGCAGCAGTCTGCTCTTGGACCCTGCTGGGCCCCGCTTGAGGGGCCTCTCTCAATCCTGCTGCTGTGACCAGCCCTCCTTGTCCATTTAGAAAGTGTAAGTAACATCCATGGTCAGGAGGGCGTTCTCAGTCTACTCCCCACACAGAAGAGGCCCAAGAAAAGAGGCCAGACAGAGGCAGAGGGAAGACAGTGAGCCCCATCCTGGACTGCTGCCTTGGCGAAGAGGGCCACATGCTCCCTGCACAGGACAGGGAGCTGGCACACAAAACGCGCCCAGAGAAAAGGACCGGCTATAGGTCTTGGGCAAACTGGCTCTCATCCTCTCTTAGGCTTCAGGGAGGGGGCACAAACTGCCTGAGGAAGAATGGAGTCCCTGCCACAAGAGGGCACCAGGTGGCCTGAGTGATGGGGTTTGGCAGGAGGTCTGCTTGGCCTGCTGGGCCTGCTGGGCTTGAAGAGTGGTAGAGACCCCAGGGTGCCCCACCTGGGGTGGTTCTCCAGGAAAGCCTTGAACGACAACTTGAAAAGCTAGTCACCTGTCATATGGTTTTCCTTGGGCTATTTCTGGGATTTTAGCAGAATCCTGTGTGAAGGTTCTGGCCTGGGCTCAGCTGTGCTGGGTGTATCTGAGGAGAAGCTGTGGTCTACCTTTGGGCCAACATACTAAGAGATGGCAGTAGTCCCTAGGGCTTCCCTGAGGGGCTGCAGAGGAGTCTTGGGAAATGGTTCTCCTCCTCTCCCTGGTCCAGGCTAGCCTGTGAGGTGAGTTTCATCTCCAGGAGCCTTCTCCATCTGGGCTCCCAGCAATGGGGTCTTGTTTGCAAGAGCTCGTCCATCCCCGGCAACTCTAAGTTTTATGCTGGGGTTTCTTCGAGAAGAAACAGCAATGACCACAGACTTCCCAACAGCCCTGGACTGGCCAGAATGAAGGCCCTCTCTCTGAGGCCTGCCCGGTCCGCTCTCTAGACCCCTGCCAGGAGAGACAGCACAACTGACCGCTCTCACTGAGGCGGAATTTAAAAATAATTATATTAATAATAAATATGTTAAGTTACATTTAAACAATAAATAGAAAAATAAACTGATAAATAAAATCATCAGGTACAAAATGTTTCAAAACTCCAACCAAGAAGAAAAAAAGAAAAAAGAAAAGAAGAAAACACACACAGACAGACAGACAGACAGCTGACAGACTAGACAAATGGACATTTGGGAAGGGTGCAAATGCAACCTTGGGAACCCTTCACAGTTCACACCCTGGCCCCCTCCCTCCAGCTCACCCGCTCCCCTCCCCAGCTCGGGGAGCTGGACTCTCAGTGGCTGACGTCTTTGGGGACTCCAGCAATGCAGGGAAACATCTGGTCCACCCGCGTCTTCTGCCAAGCGGCGTGAGTCCTGGGCTGCTGGGTGAGGTGGAGGTCCCCCTGCAGGAGCAGAGGCAGGTGGAGACGGGTCTACAGAGGCAGGTCGGTGCTGTTGTGCCGAGTCTTCCTGACAGTGCCGTCATCTTGGGGCAGAGCCCTCTGCAGGTTGGACATGGCCACGGTCTTCTTGAGGTCAATCACGGCATAGGAGTCTGAGCTGCGAGCAGGGTGTGGGGTGGGTCCAGGAGCTCCAGATACCGAGGGGTTCTGGGACCCCTTGGGACGGTCTGTGCCCCAGCCCTTAAGCTCCACCTGGATGTAGTTGAGCTGCCTTGAGGGCTCAGGGCCTGGCCGGCGGAAATCAAAGTTGAAGACCCTTGGGGAGCCTCGGCGGCGGCGGGTCAGTGGGACAGGGAAGCTGCTGTGGCTACGGGCAGAGGCCCTGGTGCTGGTGGGTTTCTGTAGTGGGGTTTCATCCTCCTCACCATCGGGGAAGCCATTTGAGGATGGTGTAAGTCCATCCCTGGAGTCCCCATCATCCCCAGCCTCCCCGCCCAGCTGCTGGACTTGGCTCTCCCACACAGGGGGAAGCGGGGGAAGGTTCTCATAGTGCAGCAGGGCAGCCCGACGGTGGGCCAGGCCACTCCACCCTGGCTCCTCCGGGCTCAGTCTCCAGCCAGCCCCTGGCCGCAGGCTCCCGCTGACATTCTCGTAGGTGCATTTGGGCTGGGCTGGGCACTCAGAAGGACCTTCGTTGTTGTTGTGATGGGGAGGGTCGTGCATGCTGGGGCAGAGGCTCTGACACTTCATCACCTGCCGCCGAGCAGGGGTGGGGCCCAACACAAACTTGACCTGCCCTGGTTGCAAGAACACCTGTGGGTCCCGTTGGTCGGAACCCCGGGTCTGTGGTGGAAAGGGTGCCCGGCCCTCAGGCAGTGGCTGCAGGCAGTGGCGACTCCTGCGGTGGTCTTCTTCGCCAGTGGGTGTGTTGACATAGGTGTGGGACTGCAGGGGAAAGAAGTCAAGTCAAACAGTGTATTCAAGGACTGGGAGGAAGGGGAAGGCAGAGGGACAGCATGAGAGAGGACAGGAAAAGAGCCAGTTTCTTCTGCTGCCTCCAGGTTCCTTCTCCATCTGGGCTCCCAGCAATGGGGTCTTGTTTTGCAAGAGCTCGTCCATCCCTGACAACTGTAAGTTTTATGCTGGGGTTTCTTCGAGAAGAAACAGCAATGACCACAGACTTCACAACAGCCCTGGATTGGCCAGAATGAAGGCCCTCTCTCTGAGGCCTGCCCGTTCTGCTCCCAACACGCTGCCACCCTTCTGGGGTAGAAAGGGGCCCACTGAGTTTCTGTTCCTTCCCACAATCTTTCCTAGGCTCCATCCTGTGGGAGCCCACAGAGGCTTCCTAGTAAGACCTCCCGAAGCTATCCTGTGTCTCTGTCTTTCTCTCCATCTACGTCTATATTTCTATCGAATACTTCCTCATTCCTCTCTCTTCCCCCCAAGAACCCTTCCACAGGTCGGAGCTGGACTCCCACGAATTCCCACACCATCCCCACCTACAGTGCAGCCCACCACGTGCACACCTGCTCATCGGAGCCAATGAGGGTGTGGGTGGACTCTTCTCCAAGCGAGGAGTGTCGCAGGCCGCTTGTGGAGGGTCGGCGGGGAGCGGAGAACCGTGTGCTCTCTCCAGGGCAGCCAGGGCAGCCATTGGAGAGGCTGGAGACAGTGTAGCCTAGAGGTGGCAGGCAAGGGGAGAGGTATGGGAATCACTTGACAATCATTTACAATCACATGCACACATTTGTGGGGGGCCTTGCAACTCTCAAGGCCCCTATTGTGACTAACCACACTGAACTGGAAGTCCTTCATTCTCCTTTACCTCTGCAATCGAACCCTGCCCTGCCTTGTGAAGCCATCAGGAGGCTAACCCAGTCTCCTACTCTATCACAGCCTTCCTTTAAACACTGAAGGTACACCTGTCACCACCCCTGGACCATCCCATGACCCCAGTCAAGTTTTGCCAGTGAGCACCACAGAAACTCCACAAACACAGGGGCCATTTCTATCCCTTCTGGTCCTCACAGCCCAGGCCAGAGAACGCAGAGCAATAGCAGCTGTGCGGTCTGACTCAGTAACCCAGCAAGCACAGACTGTGGGAACCTCTACACAGTCATGGCCAGAGAGGGCTGCACCCACAAGCCAGGAGAGGTGCATGCTGTATGTAACCCAGCCCAGGAGACAGAAGGAGGAAGCAAAAAGCTCCAGACTGCTGTTTCTATGGCAACCCAACGTCTTCCTGTCTGCTCCTCAACCATTAGTCGACCCAAGGCCCAGGACTCTGCAGCTCCAGCTTGAGTCACCCAATTGGCCCTGCCCAGGGCTGATCCATCCTCAGGAATGGTTCTGATGATGGCTGAACGTCCAGAAAAGCTGGCTCAATCCAGCTGTCCCCTACCTGCTAGCTTGACTTGGGCCTCCTAGACTTGTGCTCATGAGTATATACACTAGGGTTCCTGGGGTGGGGGTCTCCTCACCAGTGGGCTGTGAGGGCCCTCGAGGGAGGTCGAGCTCTTGGGGGTGGCTGTTACGTGTGATGATGACAGGCTCTTCCATCACGTTGATGCTGTTACATTGCATGAGGTCCTGCAGCAGGTTGAAGATTTCCTCTGCCCGTGAGCACTTGAAAGCAAAGATCCCTGGAGAAGGCAAAAAGGTAATGAGGCTCCTCCCACCCCTGATTGACTAGTCAAAAGGAACCATCCCTGACTCCAGTCCCACACTGGTGCTTCTCCCTTCCTGAGCGTTTGTCCCAGGGGCATCCCAGAACCCCAGACGGGGGAAACCCAAAGCATCTGGCTCCTCCACTACCCACTACTATCATCCCAAGACCCAGCACTGCAGCCATATTCTCCAAGGTACAGATGTTTTCATAAGGATGGATGCCTTCTGGGGTGAGGGAAACCACAGAGAGTTGCCCTATCTTCCTGTTCCTACCACTCCCTGCCCCTCAGGAAAAGTAAGCTTCATCCAGCAAGTAGCCAAATCCACCTCACGGCTCTCTAAGGACAGTTGGGTCTGACCTACTCCCAGATCATTCACAGAACATTCAGCCCAAAGGCTAGTCAGAAAGCAAAGGCCTCCTGTCTCTGCACACAGGTCACTCACAGAGCTTGGGTTCTTGTGCAAAAAGAAAAGATGGGCAGAGCTGAAGAGAGACAGGGCAAGGCAGTCCTGTGGCTCCTGAGTGCAGCTGGCCTTTTAAGCCCTTCCAAGTCCAGTCTGTCCCCAAAGTGGGAGGACTGGGCTGAGCACCTGGAATTCAATGGCTCTGAAGATGCTAGCCTGGAGCTCTGTAACACAGGATCACGGGATTCAGGAGAAGCTACAGGGACACCTTATGCACACATCCACGGCAATGGTAGACATTACCAGGTATGGCACCACACACTCACAGTTAGTCACAAAGTTCAGGGCTAGCCTGAGCTACCCATTAAAACTCTGTCTCAAAAAACCAGGAGGAGGGGTGGAATTTATGGTAAAACGTTTGCCTCGCACATACAGGCTCTGGGTTTAACCCTCAGCACACAGTCACATAATGATAAATACAGTTAAATGGGAACATGGACAATGAACACTGTATTACCATTACAATGTTCTCCATTAGCCCTAGCATAGGGTAACACAAGTTTGTAGAAACAGAATGAGAACGATGGGGAGGAAAGAAAGGGCTATCCCGGCAGGAAACGTAAAAGCTGGAAAAGACACAAAGAGGCAGCGACACCTGCTGTGATCCCAGCACTGGGACGGACCGGACACTTGAGTCTGGAGACCAGTGAAGGCCATATATAACAAGACCATCACGAAAGGGGTGGGTGCGGGAGAGGGAGGGGAGGGAGGGAGGGAGGGAAGGAGGGAGGAGGGTGTGTGGGGGGAGCGGGGGGAGGGGGGGTCAGAGAAAGCCTGGTATCGGGAGAAGCCCTGCACTGGGAACTAGGACAAGCCGTTTCAGGTGCCAAGCGTCGATCAACCTCACCAGGAGCAAGACTGCCCCGCCTCACCTCTCTGCTCACATGCCATGCTTTCCTGTACCCAGGAACTACAGGGATGAGGGGAGGGGGAAGGGCCTCACAACAGGCAACCCGGAGACTCACTGGTTTGTCGCTGTCTCAGGAGAGACACTGATCTCCTCTACCTCTGCTCACCTGCAGCACAATCCTAAGGACTCCTTGTGCTGAGCCACATCTGGACCTAACAGGCAAGCCCAGACCTAATGGAGCAACCTTCTGCCCCCGACCTTGGCTGCAGAGGGCACATGTCAGGGATCCAGTGCACTCCACTGCTGCCCTGATCTCGGCTGCAGAGGGCACATGTCAGGGATCCAGTGCACTCCACTGCTGCCCTGATCTCGGCTGCAGAGGGCACATGTCAGGGATCCAGTGCACTCCACTGCCGCCCCAACCTCGGCTGCAGAGGGCACATGTCAGGGATCCAGTGCACTCCACTGCTGCCCTGACCTCGGCTGCAGAGGGCACATGTCAGGGATCCAGTGCCTTCCACTGCCCACAGGTGATGGCAGACAAAGGTCGGGCTCTTGAAGGTTAATCTGTATACGAGAGACCCAAGATCCTGTTTCCCCAGATCTCCATCCCAAGCCAGTCAGTCCAGAGCACCCAGTCTTCCACCTGACCCCTCTTCACTGTGTATGGGCAGGGGGTATAACATGGTAGCACACCCAGTCTCCCACCTGACCCCTCTTCACTGTATATGGGCAGGGGGCATGACATGGTAGCACACCCAGTCTCCCACCTGACCCCTCTTCACTGTATATGGGCAGGGGGCATGACATGGTAGCACACCCAGTCTCCCACCTGACCCCTCTTCACTGTATATGGGCAGGGGGCATGACATGGTAGCACACCCAGTCTCCCACCTGACCCCTCTTCACTGTATATGGGCAGGGGGCATGACATGGTAGCACACCCAGTCTCCCACCTGACCCCTCTTCACTGTGTATGGGCAGGGGGTATGACATGGTAGCACACCCAGTCTCCCACCTGACCCCTCTTCACTGTATATGGGCAGGGGGTATGACATGGTAGCACACCCAGTCTCCCACCTGACCCCTCTTCACTATGTATGGGCCCAGGGGGTATGACATGGTAGCACACCCAGTCTCCCACCTGACCCCTCTTTACTGTGTATGGGCAGGGGGCATGACATGGTAGCACACCCAGTCTCCCACCTGACCCCTCTTCACTGTGTATGGGCAGGGGGCATGACATGGTAGCACACCCAGTCTCCCACCTGACCCCTCTTCACTATGTATGGGCCCAGGGGGTATGACATGGCAGCTCAGAAGGTGTTTTCCTTAGCGCAAGGGCAGCGGGACCCTGGAACCATGGCACCAATGGGAAGAGTGGTTTGTCTTTCCTAGGTAGGCTCTGGCCTAGGAGCACTGGCTACTTCATGGATTGTGCAACAAGTGTTCCCACAAAGGCTCCCAGGAGGAACAGCAGTGACTGAGGAGTGGAGAGTACTGGTCTGGGTCCATGTGATTCTCATAAAACAGGCTGTGGGCCCCTGGCTGGGCTTTTCCCTGCTCTGAACACCACCACTAAGTCTGATGTCTGAGGGCAGGATGTTAAGGGCCGTTCTCCAATTCTATAACCAATCCACGTCCCTGTCCTGGAGGCAGAGCGGGTACTCACCCTGGCCCGTCTGACAGCGGCGGCCACTCTCAAAGGAGAAGAGGTTGGAGTCATAACCATAGCGTCGCAGGCAGAGGTAAGGCCAGCGCACGGCTTCCCGCTGATGCAGGTGCAGCACCAGCTCACTCTGGGTGAGCTCCATCACCCCCGAGCCCAGCTCCACCCCTTCATCATCCACGTTTGTCACCTGGAGGGAGAGGGGAGCCAGGGTCAGTAGAGAACCCGGGAAGTCGGAGCCACTGGGAGGCAGTGTCCTGCAGGGCTAGGGCCAGGAGACTGAGCTGCTCTTAGCCTTACCACAGGTACCTGGCTCCCTTGGGTCACACAGAGCAGTGCCACGGCTCATGACAGTTCTCTGTCATTTGCACAGACAGCAAGGAGGTTGTTGACCTCCAAGGCCAGGTGGCTAGCTGTTCAATGTTCAAGGACTTCCTGGGGCTCAATACTTAAAGGCCAGGATGTCCACGAGGAAGACTTGCTGACAGGCCCAAGGCAGAACAAATACAGCCAGCCTCCAACCTCCAACTGTGCAAGCCTGCCGAGGGCTCCCTCTCCAGTCGGGAAGGAGAAACACTGGCCCCCAGAAACCCCAGTGTGAGGAGAAGGCACCTCCTAGGGGATGTGCGAGCTAAGGTTCAGTGAAACACCACTATGGTTTCTTTGGGGGATGCATGCTCTCTTTAAAACACATTATTCTTGGTGGTAAGGGGTGGGGAGCGTAGAGAACCAAAAATAAAAAAGAAAGCTTAGCACCCCCCCCCCCCCAAACTACCTCAGAAGCCAGAGCCAAGCACAAGGCGCCTTAATGAGTCCCGGACCACAGCCTGTTCTCTCCCCTTCCCTAGAGATACCGGAGGCCTAAACTGAGCAGGCCACTGGGAACTCAGGTGGGGCGAGGCTCTGGGTACCTTGAACTTGGTAGGGTGGTTGTGTGGCACGCTGTCTCTGTCCAGGCAGCTACAGCAGCTCCCCATGGTGTCAGAGCAGCCTATCCACCCTAGGGAGAGACAGGGATGAGCAGGTCACCAGTACCCCCGCCAAGCAGCCCTCAGCAGAACACTGCACGGTGAGCATGTCCTCTGGCCGAGAGGCCGCGTGACACAGACACACCCTGAGGGAATCCTCTCTCAATCCACAGCCAAACACGCTTGGGGTAAACATTAATTCAAGTTACAAAGAGTTAAGAATTCCTGCAGTGGGGGGACGGCAAGCTTCTCAGAGGTTAACGGTCAGTCTGGCCCTGGAAAACACACGGGATTCTGACCCGTGGAGTGATATGGATGGAGTCTTGAGCTGGAAAGGCAGCATGGCTGTGACAGGGCTCGGGGAGTGGCTGCCTCCGCGGTATGACGGCCTGAGGTCCTCATTTGGATTCACCAAACACGGTATCACTTGGGTGTTCCAGACACCATCTTGGTACTTTCTCTTTTCCTCATTTTCACCAACCCATTCCACTCCGTCCATGCTCTATCTTTCCTCCCTTGCCCCACCCCACTATCCACCGGAAATTAGTATTTCTGATATTCTCTTCAAGTAAACTGTTGCTACACTATGATCATAAAACACAGTGAGCCGGGTGGTGGTGGCGCACGCCTTTAATTGCAGCACTAGGGAGGCAGAGCCAGGCGGATCTCTCTGAGTTCAAGACCAGTCTGGTCTACAGAGTGAGATCCAGGAGAGGCTCCAAAGCTACACAGAGAAACCCTGTCTCAAAAAACCAAAAGATAAAACAAAACAACAACAAAACCAAACCACCACCACCACCACCACCACCACCACCACCACCACCACCACCGCCACCATCGAGAACAAACCCACCCTTAATGACTGAACCCTGGAACTCACAGCGATCTTCTTGTCTCTACTTTCCATGTGCTGGGGGTAAGAGCGCATACTACCAGGCTGGGCTCAAACTAGCATGATTTTTTTAAAACCTTGATTAGGCATTTCTTCACTGAGGAAAAAAAAATGTTGGGACTGAGCATGTAGCTCAGGGGTAGATACTTTATATGAGGCACCAGATTCAATTCCCAGCACTCCAAAACTAAAACAACTAACAAAATGCTGAGTTTTCTTCCCAAAGACCAAGTGAGATTAGAGACCTTAGCCAGCTTTTCCCTTCAGGATACTGGTAATTGGATGACATGTCTCGACAGACAGGTTTCTGCCTTAATATGGAGAGGAAACCACTCAGACCTTTGTGACCTGAGGGAACAAGAAATACTTGGACAGATCCCAACAAGAGGTTTTGTTGTTGTTTTGGTCTTGTGTGGGAACTCCAATCCCGTTCTCCGCGCTCGCTACACAAGTGTTCTGCTGTGGAGGGACACTCTAGGCCCAGCCAGCAGTTTAAAGAGGTTCACTTTGCTGCAAAAAGCCATGAGGCTGTGGATTATCCAGTAACTTCTGCTGCTGTGGAAGAACCTGGAACAACCCGTTGACCTGTTCCCTACATTCCTCCCAAGACACTCTCCAAGAGTGACACCTAGTCCCAGTTCTTACCTCACCCAGGCCATTGGGGAGCCGACCATGGGAGGGGCATGGGGAAGGATTCCCACTTTACTCCCCTCGTCCTTGGTGGGATGTCATGGCAAAGAGTCTGCAGAGAAGTCACCTGGATCCCTGTGGGTCACACCTGGGGCTCACCTAGCACAGGAGACAGAAACCAGACATTAATGGAAACCTATCCTCAGCCCCAACTCTTCATGAAACACTTATCAGCGTATCCCACCTGCATTATCTGGTCTGGGTCCTAATGGGTCCTAGGTCCTACTAGAAAGACCAATGAACCCATATCTCAGACGAAAGGACCACCAATTCTCAGCCCGAGGACCAATGACGAGGAACTCTCCACTGAAGTCCCCTGTGAATCCTGGTACAAGTACCACTCTGACCATCATCTGACCGTGCAGAGAATTTTAATCCTACAAAAAGTTTTCTTTCTCAGAGCAATATAACAATATGCTAGTTCAGTAAAAGCACCTGTTTAAGACTGAAAACCAACGTTCTAGAATGTTTTGTTGCTATGACATATCTGGGTGTGGGGGGGGGGCTCTGTCATTCTCCCTCCACCATCTCTAACTTCTGCCCCCCTCTTTGAGGAAATATCCGCAACTATGGGAGTTCTAGTTGAAGTAACTTCCAGAAGTAGGTATTAATAAAGAAAGCACTTCCCATTTGAAAGCTGGACTTTCTGTTCCTATTGTCAGAAAGGCCAGTTACAACAAGAGGCAGATTTTCAGATTATTTGAGCTCCAGGTAGATGAATCAACAAACCAGGACTCAGAGGAAAACTCTTGAAATCCCTCCTTTCTGTTCCAGTACTTCCCAGTGTTCCCCCACCAGCCCTGCACCCCCTGCGCAACTCTTAGGTAAAAGAACCCCACATTCTTGGTCTGGCTAATTCTTTGGAAGGAGGAAGCAGGCTGAAGGGTGTGTGTGCAGGCTAAAGGCAGGTACTGAAAAGACCGTGGGGGCTTAAACTATCAACAGGGTGTTGGGAAGGGATGTGAAGCCAAGAGCTACTGGATGCACAATGGGGGAGGGGGGTGCACCTTTCCGACTCCCAGATATCAACACATTATTAGATAACCCACTGAGTGGGATTACATTGGGTGGGGCGGGGAGGCTCCGGTCTGAGGTAGGTAGGATTGGGAGCAGGCATTAGATGGAGGTATGAGGTCTGAAAATGTATACGAAGCCTTGGGAGAAGATGGGCAAGGATTCTGATTCGGGCATGGTGCAGAGAGAATGAAAAGGCTGAGGAATTTCAGGACGGTGACTGCGGAAGCCTTTGGGCCACTGAGGGGAGAACGAGATGTGTCTGTGGGTATTTCAGGGGGTTGGGAGAGTGAGTGCGGGGAGGGCGGTGGTTCTGCCGGATCCTGGAGACCCGAAGGTGTAACCAGGGGGAGGGGAGAGGGTGGGGTCTGGGGAGCGAAAGGCAGAACTGGTTACAGGTTTTCTAGCTACCCAGACGGACTGCGGAGGTCGCGGCCGCGCTCCGAGCCTGCATCCCCGCCCCCAGCCCCCGGGTCCGCCGCTAGCCCGCCCGCTTGGGGCTTTCTCGGGTAGGAGCGGAGACTGCGGCGAGGCACGACACGGCCTCGGTAGAGCCGCCTGGTCCCCGCCCCGCCGCGCCCCGACTCACATCGCCCCGCTGCCCGGGCGGCGCCGGGCCCCGCTCCCGGGTCCCGCTGCAGCAGCCGCCGCCCGCCCGCCCGCCCGCAGCTAAGGCCTCCCGCCCCGCCCCGCCCCGCTCCCGCGGGGTCGGAGGTCGCCGGCTGCACCAACGAGACGCTGCGGGCCGGCCGACCCGAGCGGGGGCGACCGGCAGGCAGCCTAGAAGGTCCCTTTGGAGGACTTTGCAGTCGGGGGCAGAGAGCATGCGCAGACGCCAGAGGGCGCTCGGGGCCTGGGACTCCCGAGGGGCGTGGCCTGTCTTGAGAAGGGGCCGGGCGCGGGGTGGGGCGGGGACCCGAGGGACCGGCAGTCTCCCAAGCAGAAGAGAGTCACGAAAGATAGCGGAGCGGAGGACTGAAGCGGGGCAGGCTTCGGAATCCCGGAGGGAAAGGAGCGAGGGACCGCTGGGGACGGAGGGGGCGGGGCTGAGGCCGGGGGCGGGGCTGAGGCCGGGGGCGGGGCTGAGGCCGGGGGCGGGGGCTGAGGTCGGGGGCGGGCCGAGAGGTTCCGACCCTTGGCGGCTCGGCGGTGGTGCATCGCGTCGCCTAGTCCATGGAAACCTGCGCCCTTCCCGCCCTGAGACCCGCGAGCGCCTTCCTCAGGCTGCAGCACCCATTTGGTCGGGACCACTGGGGCCGTGGCCGGACGTCGGGTCCCTCCAGAACGGCGCGGGCGCTTGCACTTGGCCACTCTGAGACCCCTGCCGGAGAGTCTTTGAGTCCCCACTCCTAAACCAGCAGCTAGACAGGGACCCCAAGCGAACTCGGTAAGCACACGTCGAGCCTCCGCCCCGCGGGTGCACCTGCAAAGTCCTAGGGAAACTTTGGGGCTCTGTCGAGAGGCCACTTTATGAAAATGTACACGCCCCTCCCTTTTCCCTCTGGTTCAGGGACACCTTCCCGTGTCTACTGCTCTCCAGTCCCTGGGGCCTCTGGGGCTCATCCTTCCAAGAATAGGTGTTGTTTGGGGAGGCCGAACCCCTGAGCTTGGTTGCATCTGGGGCGAGAGGCGGGAGCCAGTGTTTGGCCTGTTTTTACCTGAAAGGAGAGAGGAGGGAATTATGAGAGGAAACCAGCATATTAGTAAGAGGGGGTCCAATGGTAGCTGGAGATGAATTAGGTTGCTCTGTGGCAGGGGACAGGAAGGTTGATGGGTAGAGGTCTGATTTCTGATAGTTATTTCTGTGCCAGACAGTTCCATGCAAACTAGAGCTAATCTGGAAGAGAGTACAAGTCCCCTTCTGGGGCCCCAGGAACCACCCCCTCCCTTGTTAATGGAGCTGAAACAGTGCCGCTAAGGGGTGTGGCTGTTCCTACCCCTGAGTGTGGACAGTCCATTCTGGCCACCTTCCACAGGAAACCTGACCTGGGGGGACTAACAGGAAGGAAGCAGGTGGGTGTGGAGCCAGGAAGGAGGGAAGGGTGGTACTGGACATCTGAAGGGGGACTGAAGGGGTGTTTAGAATTGGGAGGCGCTCTGATGGTTATAAAGGAAACCTGCACAACACCCCAAAGCCTAGTGATTTACTGTTGGTCCTCCTGAGCCTAGCTGCTGCTCTGAGGTAGATTACATCCCAAATCCCCAAAAACTTAGCCTTCTAGTTTGCTCATTGGTCAATGGATTGGTTGATGGTTGGTTTTTCAACTGTAAAACCGTTTAGACGAAACTGCTTCAATGGACTGTAAGAATGGACCGTATTATGGAAATTTCTAGAATAGTCACCGACACTGAATAAACATAGAAGTTTGCTCTGGCTATCACCATCCCACACAACCCAACCCTTCACCCAGAATACATGCACATGAACCCTGTTCTCTCTGGTTACATTTGTTGCTCACTAGCCCACACACGACCTCATCGAGAGCAGGGACCATCTTTTCGCTACTTCAATAGTCCCACCCAAAGACACTGTGACCCCACTTTAACTGTGGCTAAAGAGGTACACGAGGACTATCCACTAACACTGCTGTTATAAAGCTGGGTGTGGTGGTCCATGCCTTGCACTTCTGCACTTTGGAGGTCCAGGCAGGAGGATCAGGAGTTCAAGGCTAGCCTTGGTTGCTATGACACCCTACCTTGTATTGCTTTAAAGGCAGGTGGTATAGCTTGGTGGAAGAGGGCTTGCCTGGTTTGTGGCAGGCTGTGGGTTTGATCACAGAGAATGAGTGGACAAGTTTTCTTGTACCTTTGAGGCATTTAGACTAGATGAGGAAACACTGGGCTCCTTTGAGCACTCAGCAGGGAGAATCGGTGCAGGCCAGAGAAGCTGAGGAAAGTTCCTGGTGAGGAGGCTTCAGCCAGGCTCCAAAAGTGCATAGCTGGAAACAGGCGGCCTGAGTAGGGTGTAGTGAGGAGGCAGGTGTGTGGAGGGAGGGAGGGAGGGAGGGTTCACTGAGGAACCTTGGGAAGACTGGGAAGGTGAGTAGGAGAGGTCCAGCCTGCCCAGAGGCTCACGAGAGAGCAAAATGGTCCCTTGAATGTGGCCCCCCTCTTCTGCGACACCCAGCTTTGCAAGACCCAAGAATTTTGAACTTCACAAACCCAGGGGCTCAAAGATCTGACTTTGCCACTTATCAGCTGTTTGACCTTGGGTATCTATCAGTGCTCTCTGAACCCCAGCCTGGCCATCTGTAAAATGGGGACAATGCCACCCGAGTCCCCTGGCCATTGACAGGCCTGTGCGACAGCACTCGTAGAGCGCTTTGCATTGCCTGGCATGCTGGGAAGCGCTTTGCATTGCCTGGCATGCTGGGAAGACAGACACACTGAAGGAGGTGTCCCTGTGCTTTTCTTCAGGCAGACCGCCACCAATGTCAGTTCAGGATTCTGACTGCTCCCTCCAACAGGACAGCCCTATGTTCAGGGAGCCAGATCCACCCGTCAACTCAGATGGTGACTCAGGCCACCAGCCAGTGGAGGGCTATGAGGAAACCTCTGTTCAGGTAGGAGACCCACTCTTTCTGAGACCACCATCCTATCAGCCTCTGGCCCCCATTCGCCTTCTATCAACCAGGAGATAGTCTGCATTTTTCTTTCTGTTTAAAAAAAACAAACAACAACAACAACAAAAAACCCAGCCAAACCTTTATTAGCCAGGTGTGGTGTGCACACCTTTAGTCTCAGTACTTAGGAGGCAGATGCAGGCAGATCTCTGTGAGTACAAGGCCAGCCTGGTCTATATATTGAGTATCAAGTTCCAGGCTACCTGGGGCTACAGAGAGACACCGTCTCAAACCAAACAAACAACCAAGAAAACCTAAGCTTGGTTAAATACTTAGTGTGTGTGTGTGTGTGTGTGTGTGTGTGTGTGTGTGTGTGTGTGTGTGTGTGTTCCGTGTTGACGTGTGGAGTCTGAGGACAACCTGTAGGAGTCAGCTCTGTTCTTCCACTGTGTGGGGCCAGAGGAGCCAACTCGGGCTGAGCCACCCTGCTGTTCCCTGTCCCTCTCCCCCACTTTGAGGCAGGATCTTGTTTTTCAGCACTTTCAGTCCTCCTGCCTCAGCCTCCCACTGGGTGGGACTGTCGGGATGCACACCCCCTCAGCTCTGCCTAACTCTGTAGACCTGTTCTCCTCTCAGGAATTCATTCCTGCAAACCCAGAGCCCCCCTCCTCGGTCTGTCTGAGTCGTCAGGGACTGGCCCCAGGGAGTGAGTGAATGGGAGAGCTTCAAATACATGGAGTGGGGTTTGGGGGTTCCTTCCAGGCAGACCACAGATCAGGAGTGGACCTACTGTGCCTTTTTTCTTTTTTTTGGTTTTTTTTGAGACAGGGTTTCTCTTCGTAGCCCTGGCTGTCCTGGAACTCAGTCTGTGGACCAGGCTCAAACTCACAGAGATCCACCTGCCTCTGCCTCCTGAGTTCTGGGATCAAAGGCATGCACCACCACGCCCAGCTGACCTACTGTTCTTGCTTAGTGACAGACAGGAAGGGTTCCCCTCCAAGTGGAGAGGGGCGCTTGGGAGTTGCTATAGATGGAGGGAAAGTGATAAGGACAAGGAAGGGGGAAACCTAGCCCCCCTTTCTCCTCCTGTCTCTCCTCAGGTTCCTCCAGGCTCAAGCCTGGGCCCGCCTTGCCTGGATATCAGCCAAGCCTCAAACTGGCCTGGGTTTCGGACCCTTCTTCAGCAGCTTCCTCCACAGGACAGTGATGTGCGTCACTCCTCTGGTTCCCCTCTCTCCTCCTTCGCTCTCTCTCCACACCTTGTTACGTACTGTGTAGAAAGAGTCTTGGTCTAGGATTCAGGAGACAGGACTAAAAGGCCCAGTTCTGCCAGCAGCTGGAGGAAATAATTCCCTGTAGCTTGAGTTCCCACACCTAATAACAGGTACAGTAATACGTGTTCTGCCTGTCACAGTGATTAGCTCAAGAGCAAATGGGAAAATGGACATGAAACGGCATTTGAAATCAAGAATGGAATGCACAAATGTAGAAATATGGTTGTTTAGTATTTATTGAGGCCCCACCACGTGCAGGTGAAAGGCTTACAGTTTACTAGGGGAGGCAAGACAATCTATGAAGCGGAGAAAACAGAAGTCAAAGTGATACTGAGGTCTAGCTCAATGGGGACCAGAGCCACTGTATCTGTCTGGTGATGGTACTAAGTGTTATGTGGCCCTGAGTGACGGCCATCTCCTGGCACACAGTGAACTAAGTCCTTAATTGTGTTCTCTTCCCTCCCTCCTGAGCACGTCCACTGTTCTGTCCCAAGGTCCTGTCACCTCCCTCTGATCCAGCATCTAAGCCTTAGAGAACCTTGCATCCTATTGGTGCGCTGACCGAGGTCTGGGTGCTCGGGGCCTGTTTCTGCAGGAGCGCTACTGTCTGGCCCTAGGGGAGGAGGAACTGGCCCAACTGCGACTCTTCTGTGCCCAGCGGAAGCAGAAATCCCTAGGGCAGGGGGTGGCCCGCCTGCTACCTCCCAAGCTTGAAGGACACACCTGTGAGAAGGTAGGGAGTGTCTCTCCCTTCTCCGCCCCGAGCCTCCCCTTCTTCCACCCTTTGCTCTTTCACTTCTGCGGCAAGGGTTTTGGGAGTTTAGTGGAGAAATGTTTTCAGGATCAGTGATTTGGTAAATGTTAAGGAAAGGGGAAAGCCAGGTTTGGGGAGTTGGCCTCTGTGGTGGACATGGGCCTGTAGCACAATACGAACAACCAGATTGGGGGTTGTGGTTGAGGAGCCATGAGAGAAGCGGCTTCTGACCAGCCCAGTGCCTCCTCTACTTTGGCAGTGCAAGAAGCTGCTGAATCCAGGAGAGTATGGGGTGTTTGCGGCCAGGGCTGGTGAGCGGTGCTGCTGGCACAGACCTTGTTTTGCTTGCCAGGCCTGTGGTCAGGCCCTGATAAACCTCATCTACTTTTACCACGATGGGCATCTCTACTGTGGCCGCCATCATGCAGAGCTCTTGCGACCTCGATGTCCTGCTTGTGACCAGGTAGAGCACCCAGGGGAGACATTAGGGTAATGCTTCCCTGGGGAAGCAATGCGGGCGCAGGGAACACCTTCCCAGGCTGTAAGGTCTCCTAAAAGAAGTGGGAAACAGGGTAGAGAGCACTAGGAAATAGCCAGGGCCACTCTCTTGCCCTGTGTTCTCTCTCGAGCTCCGGGCATGTGGGACCTGCTGCCTTTACCGCTGCTCTCCCCCCAGTGCAAGCAGAGGTCCTTAAATTAGTTTGGACTCAGAACATTTCTAGATTCTTGAATATTTGTCTCATCACTATGCCGATGCTCAGTGCGGAGCTTGAACATGCTAGAAAGATTCTAACATAACGTTAAAGACAGTAGGAGCCTTGGGACAGGAGTCAGGGAAGCTCTGGGGCCCAACTTCTGGCCGTACCACCTGCTACGTAGAGGATCCGGCCACAGCCAGTCACCCTCCCTGAATCCAAGAATGACAAAGTACTCCAATCGTTAATGGATATAAGGCGTCGTTATTGGGTGGATGAATGAATGAATGAATGAATGAGTGAAGGAATCAATCGTTTTCCTCAACCTCTCCCAGCTGATCTTCTCTCAGCGCTGCACCGAGGCCGAGGGACGGCGCTGGCACGAGAACCACTTCTGCTGCCAAGACTGCGCCGGGCCTCTGGGTGCAGGACGTTATGCCCTGCCCGGGGGCAGTCCCTGCTGCCCCAGCTGCTTCGCCAGCCGCTACCAGAGTGCAGGCTCTAGCTCAGGGGCACTGGAAGGGCAGGCGTCCCTTGGTAAAGGAGGGGACGGTGCAGATCTAAAGGGGGAGGGGCGGCGGCTTAGGCTAAACATAGAAGGGGGTAATCTCCCGGGTCGGAACCCCTGGTCCCATCCCCATGCTGTCCTGCCCACTCCAGCAGCGCCCCGTCCTCCCACCGCAACCCCCAGACGCGAGCAACGGGGCCCGTAGCTCTCACCGCGCGTCCCTGGCCTGCGCGCTCCGAAGGCCTCCTGAACCCACCCGGCGGGGCTGCAGCGCCAGACTCGCTCCCGGGCGGGGGACGCGGTCGCCCACTGGTGGACGGAGGCGGGGGCCCCTGGGGAAGGCGGGCGGCAGCGGCGGCGCGCACGGCACAGCCTGGGGCGGGGCGGGAGGCTGCACGCAGCCCTGGCCCGCCTCTAGCACTGGGACTTGGGGGCTCTGAGATGGGCATCTCTAACCGGTCCGAAACAGGGGAAACAAGACCCGATCCAAGCATCAGCTGGAACTGTGCCTCCTCGGATGACAAAATCACCTCCCGAGCTGCGCTTCCCTCTACAGTCGCCAGCCCCACCCTAGAAACACCGAGCCGGGCGTCCAAAAGGCAGGACCGCCCACAGACGCCCAGAAACCCCAAAGAGGACAGCCCCTGCCCCACCTGCTCCTCTTCCTCTGAGTCGGAACCCGAAGGTTTTTTCTTCGGCCAGCGCCTTCCAGGTCCCTGGAAGACCCCGGAGAACCTCCAGGCAGATGACAGAGACATCTCCAGGAAGCACTGCACCATTTGTTAGTGGCGCGGCCCAGAGATCAGGGTAGTGGCATGGGGGACCTGTGAAGCAGGATAACAAGACTGTGCTGTGTAAAAGACCCGAGACTGAAGGCAGGCACGCGCTCTAACCTGAAGAAAACTTTCTTGGGGACACACCACTACCCAGAACTTCCTGGGTGAGCTAGCCCCTATCCCCACGGGCTGGGATAGCCCCACCCGTAAACTAACGGAGTGGTGGAACAGCACGGTAACAGGCTCCAGGCACCGGGAGGTGGGGCAGCAAGCAGGGGCTCCACCTCCGGCCTGGATTTCAAGTTCTCTGAACTGGTGGAAGCGCCGCCGGGGGCGGGCCTTCTCGCTTGTTACCACCGGCCGGCGGAAGTGCAGGGTCGGAAGTTGCGCGATCGACCTGCGCCGACTCTGTGCGCCGCGCGCAGCCTGTGCGGAGGTGCTCGGTGCTGTTATGGCTTCTAGTGGGGTGACGGTGAGCGCCTCCGGCTCGGCCAACGAGGCCCCCGAGGTTCCAGACAACGTAGGAGACTGGCTCCGCGGCGTCTACCGCTTCGCCACCGATCGGAACGACTTCCGGAGGTAACCGAGGCTGGCTTCTCTCTGGCCCTCATAAACTTGCATTTCCCTTCCTGGTGAGGCTGGCATTCCCAGGGGTTTTACCTCACTGACAACATAGTGGTCTCATGGTGTCTTTTGTGTTTTGTTGAGGCCGTAGGCTCAGAAAATGTTCTGGTGGCAAAAGAATCTGTCACGTGGCTCTCAAGGTATATAGAATGTCGCCCTGGGCTGTAGCGATGGCTCAGCGGGTGAAAGCGTTTGCTGCCAAGCCTGAGGACGTGAATTCGATCCCCGGGACCCTGCAAGGTGGAAGGAGATACCAACTCCTGCGGGCTGTACTCGGACCTCCGCACTTGCACTGTGTCAACATGCACGATCGCACACATACACACAAATTAATGTAATATTTTTAAAAAGTCACCCTAGTCGGGTGGTGGTGGCGCACGCCTTTAATCCCAGCACTCCAGCAGAGGTAGGTGGAGCTCAGGGAGTTCAAGGCCAGCCTGGTCTACAGAGCGAGTTCCAGGACAGCCAGGACTACATGAGAAACCCTGTCTCGAACCCCCCGCCCCCCCAAAAAAGCCACCCTGACCTAGGAAGCAGGGAAGAGGTTGCCAACGCATAAACAGGTGTTTTAGCCCTGGAAGAGTGCTAAGTTGGCTCTGCTTGTGCTAGGAATAGATGTAAACTCCAAATCGTCACGTGCATATTGGGCGACAAACCATTGTATCAAGTGTCAATCATCACTCCGAAAGGCGGTGCTGAGGGGAAACTTCCCATGGTATGTCATTAGCTTCTTGGGACTCTGTGACTTCAGTGTTAAGTATATTCTCTACCCAGGAACTTGATCCTCAATTTGGGACTCTTTGCCGCCGGAGTGTGGCTGGCCAGGAACCTGAGTGACATTGACTTGATGGCCCCTCAGCCCGGGGTGTAGCCACGTAAGCACTTAACTCTCCGTCTCTGCCTGTTTCGGGGCGGGGGGGGGGGGGGTTCCTAAAAGATGAGGCTAGCAATAGTAGCAGAGACTTGGTGTAAATCCTCACCCTTGGATTTCTAGGAGAAAGCAGTTTTCTTTTTGTGTTTTCCCATTTTTAATACCACCTGTTATCTGGTTGCAGATAATGGAATTCCTGTGTTGTACTCAAGCTTCCCAAGACAGCCTGCTGTCTTGGACCACGAGATACTACCCTGGTGGCAGCTGAAGTTGACAGCTCTCCTTGTCTGAACCTCCACCCCACCCCTCCACCCCTGGGCAGCCCCCAGCTTCAGCTGAGATGTTGCTTCTGCACAGTTCTGTGTGCAGTTCCCAAGTTTCTGCAGAGGGTGATCTTTGCCCTTGTCCTGAGGAGTAGTGATGGTTCTTGAAAAAAATATTTCAAATAAAGCCTGCACACAAAGACAGACGTTTTATTTTTTTAATAAGAAACTTCTTTCAAAACCAAGGTGTAAAAAGTCAGGTTTACAAAAATCAAAAAACATGATTTGTATTTCACACTCAAGAGACAGGAATGAGCCCCAAACACAGATTGTAATGGAGATGTTTTGCCTCTTTTTAAAAGAGAGAAAAGGAAAAAAAAAGCAATTGAAAGGGAACCACCTACTCCACAGGGATGCAGACCTGCTACAAAGCCGATTCTCAGCCTTCTTCTGTTGAGCAGTCCTAGGGGAAGCCATTTGGTGGTGTTTGGTATTTGAATTCACTGGGTGGGTTTTTCCAGGCACTAGGGAGGCACTGTTGTTGGGACAGATTTGGTGGCAGGAGAGGGCACTGACGTGTGGGTGGAGGCAAACTCGTTAGTGGGCGCGGGGGAGCAGCTTCCTACCCAAGGTTAATGCCAGTGCCACTGTCGGGTGGTCTCGAGCACGAGCCAGTGTGGGAAGAATCCTGTGGCCATGAGATGAGGTGGTGCTAGAAATAGGCTCTCCATAGCTTTCTTTAGTCAATTTACTGGGCATTTAAAAATAAATACTGCTTTTATGTGCCAAGGCCCCTTCGGAGCTGGTCTTGATGACGGCATGAGTGAGGAAGGGTCAGTGTGACTGGGCCACAGCTGCATGACCATGAGAGAGTTACTTCTTGTCCCTTTCCTAGATCTGCAGATTAAATCTCATTCAGTCAGTTCCTGGGGCCTAGGAGCATAGCTCACTGCAGAAAACTCATGAATTTGACCTCCAAACACCCACCAAAAGAAAGGGGGGGGCAATTGAGAAAGTTTTGCTTGTTTTGTTTTTTGAGGGAGGGTATCTGTAGCCCAGGCTGGCCTCAAACTTAACTACATAGCTGAAGATGGCCTTGAACTTCTTATCTTGTTGCCTGAACCAACCAATTGTTAGGATTACGGGTGTGCTATATACTGTGCCTGGTTTTATGTGGTGCTGGGGTCAAACTCTGAGCTTCAGGCTTGCCAGGCAAGCACTCTACTGAGCTACATGCCTAGCCATATATGGGGTGGGGATTGCCATTTTCTTGTGAATGCTTATCAGGTAGAACCTGTGAGATGTGATGACTAGGAGAAACTATAAGTAAATTCAGGCCTAGAATTGGCTTAACATGAATCAAGAGTCTAGAATTTATTCTGAGTCACAGATACTCTGAAGTTTGTTTTAGAGAACATTAAGAGACCTGGGCCTCATGGCACACAATCCCAGAGCCTGTGGACCTCTGAGGCCAGTGTGGTCTACATAGTAAGTTCGAGACTAGCCAGGGCTACACAGTGAGACCATGCCTTAAAAGAAAGGGTGGGATGGGGGGGGGGGGGGATGACGACAACGATGCAGGGTCATGAATATGAATACAAGGATAAGGCTTGGGTTTGAAGCCATTACTTCCAATGCCCGCAAGGTGATGAGGAAGCGGCTTTCTAAGCCGTATGACAGACGCAGACCCCCACATGACCTTGGCTAAGCTCGGAAATAGCAGCCTGATTTTTTTTTTTCCACAGAATGAAACCTTAAAGTATGCTATATGATCCTATAACTGAGTAGTTCTATTTAGTTAAAAAAAAATTTCTGTGTTGAAACCAGAATCTAGACAGAATTAAGACATGATAGCTTTCAAAAGTATAATTGAAATGAAATTTCATTCCACATTTAAGGTATAATTTCAAGTAACGTTTACTGTTGCTTTTTGAAGCCATAATGCTGGTTTGGCAGTTTCATTTAAACTGGGTTAGCGGAGCTGGATGGAGCCCATGCCTCAAGCACGCTAGCTAAGTGCTCTAGAAATGAGCTCTTCGCCAGCAGCTAGCTGTATTTTAAATGAAACATGCCAGCATAAGTATGGACAGAGCTGACAAAAGGGACTGCTCGCCTCACAGCTGCTAAGCTACGGTGTGTTAGAGCCAGGTGTGAGTTGACAAGCACACAGAGGTTCAAGTGATAGCTCTGGACTGAGCAGGTAGGGTTGTGGAGGAGCCAAGCTCACAGTCCTGAGAAGGCGCTTTAGCACCGACAAAAAGAGAACCACCGAGAGACCCACACTTAGCTGGTGAAAAACCAAGTGACCCTGGGAAATTTCGCCCCAAAGATATAACTCTTCACCTAAATAGTCCAGGAACTAGGCTGAGGGACCCAGTTTCCAAGTGTGCTTTGAATGGTGAGCTTGTCAACACCTTTGGGGAAGTCCCACAAGCTCAGCAGGAAACTTCTGGTTGGAGTGAAAGAACCAGACTCTGAACAGACAGCCCTAACTCAACAGACTGGTCTTGCTACCTTCCACAGTCACCTACCACCATCCCAGTTGCATCTGCCCAGGAAGTCTTGAGGGTGGCGGTGACAGGGACATCATTTTTGCATCACTCACTCTGCATATTACACAGTGTACTGGTTTGTCTTACAATCTTGAGGTTCACATGTAGGGGATTATTTCCTACACTGCTTCCTGATGGTCTGTGCAGAAGGACTCTAGAATTGACGAAGATTCCACTGCTCTTGATTGCCTAGCCTCAGTCATGGTTTTGCTAAAGGCTTTTCTGATCATTTGGCTCTCCCAACTAGCTGGAAACCCTTCCACACATAAGCTGCAACCCCAGATAGGGATGTGAGACACATTCAGGAAAGGGTCACCTTCCAGAAAAGGCTAGCATTAATGTTTGGCATATACAAGAGGCAAAGAACAACAACAGTGTATGTTGGTTGCCTTGAAAGACAGCCATTTGATGGATGATTACAAATACAGTCATGGACAGTGAAACTCTAGAACTTGCTGGTAAGAACAATTTGCATTTATACACAAGAGATTAGAATGTTCTATAAAATCTGATAGCACATATCCTTTAAACACTACAGAGCCATCTGCCACTTGACATAACAAAAGGAACCCTGCCCCTTAACTTGTCAATCGCATGCAATCCATAATTAAGTACAAGGCACCAAATTTTATGAATTGTATAAAATTAGTTTACAAAGCTTTATCAGTAAAACAAATTTCAGATCTCCCTTGCCCCCCCCCACCCCCCCACCCTCAGCCCCAAGTTTTCATTCTGCACTACTGTCAACCACCTCACAGCTTACTCTGGACACTGCCAACCAGTCCACCTCATTGGTTCTTCCCCTGAATGTGGATGGAGCTGAAGGCATAGCCAGAGCAGGGAACTCGTACATTGTGAACAAAAATAAACTCTGCTGTTGAGTCCATAGGACGCATGAACACTTCTACAGTTTCCAATTTTATTCATGACATTTTTAGAGACATCTAGAAGTTCTTCACCATGTGGCACTGCCCTCCCATTTCAGCCAGAGGGGCTGGTTAAAGCTGGCAAGAGCTCTGCCTGCCATTTGAGGAGAGCTGCAGTTCCTGGCTGCCAAAGGTATCCCTGCTACTTTTGCATTAGCACGGGCGCCGCTCTTGGAGGCAGCCACAAGCATGAGGGCCAGGCTAGACTGAGGTAAGAAATTGTTTTTGAGGGCTGGGGTGTATTCATCTTGGCTGGCTATAGTGGTAAGTAAACACACCAGCCAATTACAAAGGGTTCACAGAGAAACTGCTGCTGGAAGAGCAGCACCTGGCATTTGACCTGGAGCCAACTAGTCAAGGTCTATCTGTTCCTTCTTCTCTTTAGAATGTTTCAGTGTGATGTAACTACACAGCCCTCTGCTTTGGCTGTGCAGACACCAGAGGCAGAAGACGGCACAGCACAGCAGCCCAGACACAGTGCACAGTGCTTCTGCCACAGAGACCTCCTTAAGCACCAACTCCCTAACTCATGCTGCTGCTTCTGGGGCCTGAGGTGGCAGCTGTGGCTGCAGTGGCACCTTCAGGAGGGTGGTTCAGTGGACACAGCTGGTTTCAGGGCAACCCATTTGAAGTGATTTCATTAATCTCATGTGTGGGTGTTCAGGTCAGCCAAACATTTATTTTATTTATTTCCCTAACTTGCTTACCAGTCTTGCTGATAGTTGCCATAAGACCTTTTTTAAAAAATGAATTAGAACCTTCTAATTTTCCTTTAAGTGTTTATATTGATTAATGTTTCCCCCTCTGGACAGACAGATATGTATTCATTGCCTCCAAGTTCTCTCTGTTTCTAGAGTAAACAACACAGGGTTTAAGAGGAGCTGCAATCCAGTCTTGTTTCCTTTTTCACTCTCAATGGTTTGTTATTCTTGTTTTTCAGACAGGGTCTCACAGTGTAGCCTCAAACTCATAATCCTCCTGCCTCAGCCTAGCAAGTGCTGGCCTCCCAGGTGTACCAGCACACTTGGCTTTGTTTTTGAATGGGCTTTCCTACCATGGTAATAAATCATCACCATCATGCATCTTGGTAATGTGGACCTCAGGGTACAGCTTTATATCAACCTCAGGCAGCATGGGCAACCGGGACACTTTAAAACAGTGTCCAGGAGAGGAGCAGGCCACGCAAAGCTCACAAAATAGCCCGCAGTAGACAGTAAAAACCAAACAGCACAAAAATGCTATACATTATCGCTTCCAAATAAAAGCTAAGTACAGAAACCTCACAGTGTTGTAAAAAAGCAAGTTTAAATCTAGCCATACCATCCCTGTCAGGGGAGCCATTTTCTGTCTGATTTTTTTCTATGTCTCAGTAATGTCTGGCAGGCCTGCCGGAGGGAGAGCTCATCTCAGATGAGGGCAGCAGGAACGGCTACAGATGTGCCTGGGAAACCGTGCCTCCTTCAGCCTCACTGCCCCTGTTCCCCACCCCTTAAACTCCCTCCCTGTCTGCTCCCTTCAAGTGACCACATGAACACCAGCTACTTATTCACGGGAGAGGCTGTGGGCACTGCAGAGGCCACTACAAGAGAATGAGGGTCTGTAGTGCCTCTGTCTGGACACTCCAACTCCATTTAGAAGTGGAGCGAATTTGAAAGAGGTGTTTTTACTAATAGCAGAGTAAAAGGAGTCTCACTGTACCCTCGTAGACTGAGGGCAGGTGGCCAGAGCAGCAGGCAAGAATAAGTAGCAGAGTGGGAAGAGAACAGGCAAGGGTTATGAGCAAGAGCTAGACACACAGTCCCTAGGGAAGCGAAAGCTCCCAAACCTTGTGAGCACCAATGTGTTAGGTGCAGGAGAGCACAGAGGAGACCCTAGGGGCAGCAGGCATTGGGACAACCCCCATTAACCCTCACTGAATTCTGAGAAGGCTTCTGACCACTGACCCAAAGACCAATCTGGACAAAACCATGTGCTGGCTCCAGACCCGAGCCAGGCTCCTGCTCCAGGACTCGGGGAGTCCGGAGCCTCCATGGCTTCACATGCACAGACCAAGCATGCACTGGTTCAGGCCCCCTCTTCTCACCAGTGCAGAGTGAGGAGGTGCCAGCAGCCGCTTGGGAGAAGCCCAGCTCTGAAAGCCTTCTTCCAACTGGCCATGGGGACGTCTGCTCCATGCCCCTCACTCCACTCTCCAACTGTTCTCTCCTAAAAAAGGAAGCTTGCAAGCTGTATCCCTGATGGTTACCACTTTTGTGCGAATAAATCCTGTGACTTTACCTTCCACTTCGGAACCAATCCTTCCCACCGGCTGTCAGCCCGGGGCCTCCTCATGTACTCTGCAGTGCCGCAAGGAGGTTCTGATTAGTGGGGACTTGTGACAGAGAGAAGACATTCATGGCTGCTCTCCTGGCTGGATGACCACTTGACCCCTTCCCCTGCCCCCACCCCAGGTCCCTCTATTATCCAGAAGCAACTGACAAAAGAATCTTCATAGAAGTTACTCCTTTAGATTTGTTTTATGAAAGGAGGGAATTTCCAAATGTTTTCAAAAGACAGTGACTACCAACTTTTTGACAGGGCAGGAATCACCTGGCATTGTCTTCTCTAGGCCCAGTGAGGCAAACCCAGTAACCTGTTACTACGTAGGGCAAGCCTTCTTACCCACGAGGAAAAATGTAAGGACATTTGGATGCATGCCTCCCAGTCAAGGGAATGTGTAAGTTCTGCCTTCGTCCTTGCTGCTCGACTGCACCTGAGCTCGGAGTTGGGGTTCTGAAAGTCTTGCACTGCCCTGAACTGTTCTTCGAGTGTAAAAAAGGATGTAGGCCTGGGTTTTGCACACTTCCTCGACACTGCATACATCCAGCTTTGAGTCATTGCAGTGGACCCAGAAACCTAGGAAGCCAAAGGAGAGAGAAAATGATGACCTAGTTTACATTTCTAGACAAGTGCAGCCAGGAGATGGGAAGGGGACAGTGGGGACGGAGCCACCTTCTGATTACTAGTGGGGAGGGGGGGACAAGTGAATGACACCGTGCTCCCCATAACCTCTGCCTTTCACCCCACCAAATACCACCACAAAGACTCTTGCCTACAATATTGACTGACCAATCTTCTGTCCTTGTTTCCTTTATGCCTTTTTATTGTCTCCTAAAGCCTCCACAGAGACAGCCAGGATAATTCAGACTAAGAGGAAGAGGGGGAGAGAACGGGAAGTGGAGGGGATTGACAGCAGTACTTGTTTATAGGCTTGGGCTGCTGAAAACCTACTTACAGCCCATCTGCATCCGTGCAGCAGCTGGAGACTGCCCTAGGGTAGGGCTGAAGTGGGGTAGGGCCCTTTGGAGGGCCCTTGATACCCACACTCCTCAAGGTAAGGGAGCTAATGAGGACTCAGAAAGTGCCCCAAATGTCCTCAGAGTTATTTGAGTGAGGCCAGAGATTTATAACATATCACCAGGAAGTCACAAAGGCCCCATTATTTCTGCATGACCCAGAAGGAAGCTGAGGTCTGCAGAAGTATCATTACCATAGCCATAGTAATGCCATCAATAATCAACACTACTGATGATACTGTGCTAATCTCCAGCACTGCATCTAAGTACTTTGATATGGGTAGTTCTGTTCAGTCCTAGCATAACCTTACATTCTTACCAAAGCCCCAACTTTCATAACGCTTCTCACTGAACTTTAATGTCTGTAATCTGTCCCTAGCTGACCCAGGGGGCTGGAGATAATGAAAAGCAGTAAGGTGTGAGCAAACCCCCTTTCCATGTCCCGACCCCCCGAGTAAAGGCACGCACCTCCCTCTGTGTTGTAGCAATAGGCTGTGTAGTGTCCTGAGCCAAACCCTTTCCCGTGATGCATGACCACTGCGGAGAGATCATAGGCAAAGGTCTCTTTGTCAAGAGAGGAGAGCATGTCCCTGCAGCAGTAAGGTTCCATGGTTAATACCTGGTCAAAGACGACATGGACCCCAATCTTCTCGCGATGATTACGGCCAGACCACCTAGAACGTGGAAATGAATTTCTTACTCATTCAGACTGGTATAAGCTAGTTAAACAGGGAGCTAAGAAAATAGCTTTTGTTTTTGCTTTTGCCCCCGGCTAATCAAAATCCATGTGTATATCTGCTGTGAAAGTTCCATGGAGTATTTGAACCTACAAACCCCTAAAGAAACAGTTCAGGCATGGCCTCTGTATAGTCTGTCGCTTGCCCCTTTCACTGTTATTTTATACTGACTCCTTGGGATGAATTTGCATAAGCCCAAACAAGGCGAGGAGAGTATTGGCAGACATTAGGTGCACACTAGAAATGAAAACAGGGCAAGAGAGCTGAAGCCCAGGCTGCTGGCTCCAACATCAGCTTTTCTTACTGGACAAGAACCATTGACTCTCAACAGCAAGTGCAAGGCCCCACAGGAACAGGATTCTCCTTCCCACACCAAAAAAAGGCATCTGTCCTCCCCAAGCCCTCCAGGAAGCTCATCCCAAAGCTCACCTGAACCTTTTAAGGTGCAGCCGGAGGACCTGAGGTAGTCTGTAGATCATTAACTGCTTTCGGGCTTCACTCAGAACAAGGGGTTTGGGGTTAGATTTTCGTCGTTTGCCTGTGTCGTTTGGAAAGGTATAAGACATAGGCAGTGAGGAGCATCAACCAGTTACTGACTACTCAGTAGACATTCTCCTTAGCTTTCAAAACTTCGACCTCAGTTTTATTTATGGTAATAATGGGACACATCCCAAATATGTCTTGCATTTCCCAGCTTCACAGGCCTGAATGCAGCGGCTCTGGAGTTGTGGCTAATATGAAAGGAGTGATGGGACCCTGAGGTGACTGAGGATGGGAGCTTTGCACCACTATAGTCCAACAGTAGGAGCCTGCATTCCCCATGACCAGGGAGCCACATGCTAGCCTTGGGGTGTCCTCCAGACTTCTTTTATATGACAGTCACTGTTATTGGACTCTTTTTTTTTTTTTTTTTTTGGTTTTTCAAGACAGGGTTTCTCTGTGTAGCTTTGCGCCTTTCCTGGAACTCACTTGGTAGCCCAGGCTGGCCTCGAACTCACAGAGATCCGCCTGGCTCTGCCTCCCGAGTGCTGGGCTTAAAGGCGTGCGCCACCACCACTGTATTGGACTCTTAAAAGCAGCCAAACCATTCCTGATATATCTGCTTTCAAATTTTTGCTGTCAGCAGCTTCCAGAAGTGATATGGGTTCAGGATAGCATATTGCAGGTGTCATGACTTTTTGGATGGAATATAATGGATGGCTGCCACCACAGTGAACACAGAGTTGAGTACACCGGGGTTCTATACTTTCCACTCCTATCACTTACATTAGCTGCATGTTATGTTTAAAAGGCTTTCTCTTCTCACCAGTTAGGTCTCGCTGCACTTCCTGCTCCTAACTATCAATAGGCCAAATGAATAAGTTACTCAAAACTCTGAGCCTCAGCTCTCTGTTTTGTTTTGAATGTTTCATATTTAAGGCTTCGAAAAAAGATAATAAATTATGATTACTAAAGGACAGAACATGAGAGCAGTTTTTTCCCCCCAATATGCTTTGCTTATGGCATATACAAACCTTAAAAAAAAAAAAAAATTTGGTAATCGTGATGGCTAATTTTGGTTATCACCTTGATACACCTGGGAAGAGAGACTCCTAATTGAAGAACTGCTTACATCAGGTTGGCCTGTGAGCATGTCTGTGTGGAATTTCTATGACTGTTGATTGATGTAGGCGAGCACAGCCTGCTGTGGGTGCACTACCCATGGGCAACTGTGCCTAGCGGTATAAAGGTGGCAGATTGGAGCTGGGAACAAGCCGGGAAGCAGGTTTCCTCCAGGGTTTCTGCTTCAAGCTCTAACCTTGAGTTCTTCCCCTGACTTCCCTTGATGATGGGCTGTATATAACCCGAAAGCTAAAATAAAGCCTTTCCTCCCAAGTTGCTTCTGGTCACAGTGTTTATCACAGCAACAGAAAGCTAACCAGGGCAGCAGTTCTGTGTTTATGCCATAGTTTTTGAAAGGTGTTTCTCTTTCTTTCTCCCTTTTTTTCTGAGACAGGGTTTCTCTGTGTAACAGACCTGGCTCTTCTGCACATATGCTGTAGACCAGGCTGGCCTTAAACTCAGAGATCCACCTGCCTGCTGGGATTAAAGGCATGCACAATCACTGCCTGGCTGAAATGTGTTTCTTTCTTCTCTCTCTCTGTGTCTCTGTCTCTTTTTTTTAATATTTATTTATTATGTATACAGTGTTCTACCTGCATGTATGCCTGCACACCAGAAGAGGGCACCAGATCTCATTACAGATGGTTGTGAGCCACCATGTGGTTGCTGGGAATTGAACTCAGGACCTCTGAAAGAGCAGCCAGTGCTCTTAACCTCTGAGCCACCTCTCCAGCCCCTGAAGTGTGTGTTTCTTATAAACAAGGTGGGAAGATAGCCAAGGTCATCTAGTCCAGTGGTTGGTTCCCAACCTCTGGGTCACGACCCCATAGAGGTCAAATGACCCTTTCACAGAGGTCGCCAAAGACCATTGGAAAACACAGATATTTACAGTACAGTAGCAGAATTACAGTTATGAAGTAGCAATGAAATAATGTTATGGTGGGGTCCCCACACCGTGAGGAACTGTATTGAAGGGTCACAGCGTTAGGAAGGTTGGGAACCACTGGTCTAGTCCAAAAGAACAAATGCTGACTCTAATTTTGTTTCTAAACTATAGACTTGTAAGTGCAATGGAGCCCTAAACCCTTAGAAAACAGACAATGGGAATCAGCTTTCTCAGCCTCTGAATCAGAGGCCTCTGTAAGTACTTACTGATCCGTTAGAAGTGAACAGACTGGAACACAAGGTTTGTGGTCCAGCGGGGGGCCTGCTGCTTGTCTCTAGGCTGTTGCTCTGAGGGCTCAGAGTAGAAAGCATGGCATCTGATTTCAAATTCTGTTTGTAGAACTTGTGAAAAGAGCCCCGTGTGACAACACACACAGAGTGTGTGGTGCTGGAGGACCTTGACCAGGGATGCAGTCATGACTTGTGGGCTATGCAAAGACGCACACGGAGAGGGACGTTGCCCAGCTTTTCCATTCTTGACAACCAGACCCTTGAAAAGGGCTGTAGCTCTGCTTAGGAAACCGGCAATGACCACAGTCCACAGCAGAGGGAGTACTGGAGCTAAGATGAACACAGTGTAGACTGTCTTTGTTTCCTTAAATGAAAGTTCACAAAGAAAAAAGATTCCTGACTCAGTTGGGATGGAGCAGTTTTGTCTCCGTTTAGTTACGGTAAGATCCAGGGAGGAGGAAGAGCGACAATCCTTACACTTCACAAGCACCAGGCCAACGGAGTTCATGCCTGCTGAAGCCATTCTTCTGCATTAGGCATGGAGAAACCCCAATCCAGACTAACCCAGAAAACAACGACTTCCTGAAAAAAACGGAGTGTTTCCCACCTAATCTGTCACATCTATGAATGATACAAAGTTGTTACTGCCCCTTTGTTCTTGTAGGTAAAAAGCTTTGGCCAGCTGTGGTGGTGCACACCTCTAATGACAGCATTGGCAGGCAGAGGCAGGCGGATAGATCCCTGAGTTTGAGGCCAATCTGGTCTACATAGTGGAGTTCCAGGACAGCCAGGGCTATATAATAGACCCTGTTTCAAACAAACAAGAAAAAAACAGGGGCTGGAGAGATGGCTCAGTGGTTAAGAGCACTGACTGCTCTTCCAGAGGTCCTGAGTTCAATTCCCAGCACCCACATGGTGGCTCCCAACCACCTGTAATGAGATCTGGTGCCCTCTTCTGGCCTACAGGGATACATGCAGGCAGAATATGTATATATAATAAATAGCTAAATCTTTAAAAAAAAAAAAAGGAAAGAAAAGAAAAAAGAAAAAAACAAGAACAAAAACATAGAAAATGAACCCTCTCCTACAGAAAGCCCCAGCATATACTCTAAACTATTATTATATAGTAGTAAACTGATATCTAGGTCATTGTGTGGGAGCCAAAGTTACATTTTAAGTTTTAATTACTGTGCCTTAGAGATCCATGAAACAAAAATGTCTCTGATCTGCAAGCTCCTTGCCCAAGGACAGACAGTTCCGGAAATGCTGGAGGTTACTGTTTATGGGAGTTAACCAGTCACATGTTTTCACGCCCTTAAACAGGTTTATTTGACCCATCTGCACCAAATGTGCTTGATCACATGCGGGCAGGAGGTTCACAGGCAGGAAATATGTCAGGAAGCATGCTTGCCCCTGATTGGACCTGATGGGAGATACAATGAATTATGGGTTTTCCTTCTTAAAGAGCTACTGCAAACTGTGATTCTGGGCCATTTCCCAGGAACCTGGGTATGGACCTGACCAGAGCCCATACACCTGGCCAGTATTTAATTAAGCTTGCTTCAAATTTGGCTTTAAACTGTGGTAATGGTCTTATTCTCGATCGGTGGGATTAACAATTATATAACCCATAATTTTGTATTTGTTCATGTCTAAAGCTTTATATGCCATAAAATCCAGACACTAGAGTTGGAGACATTGCTCAGCATTCAGAATACCGGCTGCTCCTCCAAGACAATCAGGTTGGGGTCCCAAGGCCCACATGACAGCTCACAAGCAATTGGATGAGATCTGAAGCCTTCTTCTGACTTCTCACAGCATCAGGCATGCACACGGTACACAGGTGTACACACAAGCAGACACAGACGTCAGATGGATCGTCTTTAACACCGCCCCAGACATACGCGTCCATTTGCTGCACCTCTGTCTCTGCACGCTGGGCTAGCAGAAGCACTACATGTCAGTGTGGTGACACAGAAGGGCCTGCACAGGTTGCCCACGTAACCACCCAGGAAGAGACCCCATTTAAATTACATCATCGACACAGACCCTTCTTTGTGACTTTCTCTGAAATGCAAACTCTGCAAGCATGTGAAGAAAAAAATGGAAACTACCCATGAGGCTGCCACTCATCAAGGGCCAGAAGACACGCTGCATTGGTTATGTGCACCAATATCTTAAAAGTCACATTTATTGAGCTGGGTGGTGGTGCATGCCTTTAATCCTAGCACTCGGGAGGCAGAGCCAGGTGGATCTCTGTGAGTTCAAGGCCAGCCTGGTCTACAGAGCGAGATCCAGGACAGGCACCAAAACTACACAGAGAAACCCTGTCTTGAAACCGCCCCCAACCCCCAAAATCACATTTATTTCCTTATCTATTTACTTATAGTGTGTGTATGTGTGTGTGTGTGTGTGTGTGTGTGTGTGTGTGTGTGTGTGTGTGTGTCTGTGTAGGTCACATGATAACTTGTGTGAGGCTGTTCTCTTTGTCAACCATGTAGGTCCTGCTGAGCCGTCTTGCCAGCCCAGATCTTTGGTCTGTGTATGTCGTGTGGACAGGGATGTTTGTGCACATGTGCCTGTGGAGGCCAGCAAACACTGTTGGTGTCACTCTTCAGGAGCCATCCATGGGGGCTTCGGTTGCTGTTCTAGTTGAGACGAGGGCTCTCCCCGGCCTGGAATTTGCTAAGTAGGCTAGGCTGGTGCCTCGAGCCTCAGGGATTTCCAGGATCTTCTTGTTTAGTGATGGGTGTAAAGCACACACCACCACACCGGACTCTTTTTACCTATGCTATGAGGCTCTATCTCAGTTCCCACTTGCTTGCAAAGAAAAGCCTTTACAACTGACAAGTCTCCCCAGCCCCATCATATCATTTTTTAGCATGAGTTTTGACAGACTTTAAATCTCCAAACTCAGTACAAAAACATACTTTCTCACCCTACAGCACTCAAATGGGGTGTAGCACCTGAATTTAGACTACATAAGAGCTGTCAGATTACCTGTGTGACTAGGACCCCGAAGCGTTATGAAGCTAAGTGCTAATGCTCTCACAGCCCCTCTTTCGGAGACCACTTTCGCACACTTCCCAGATAACTAAGGTCAGTCAGAAGGGTCAAAGGAGGCACAATTCTTTTTGGAGCCTATCCTGGAACTCGCTCTGTTGACCCGGCTGGCCTTGAACTCACAGAGATCTGCCTGCCTCTGCCTCCCGAGTGCTGGGATTAAAGGTGTGCGACACCACCATGCCATTGTTTTCAATGTGACAAAGTGTGTGTGCTGCGGCAGTCAGTTCTCTGTACCCACCTCCGGGTAGGTTCTAAGGAGTGAACTCCGATCGCCAGGCTTGTGTGGCAAGCACCTTCACTCACTGAGCGGTCTCACTGGCCCAGGTCTGCTTTAATATGTAAAGTCCATATTAGTTATTACGGAGACTCTGAGAAAAAGATCTCAAAAAGAAGGTTTAGACCCACTTAGTGTCTCATGTTTCTTCTGACTAAAGGGTCAAAGGCAGCTCCTTAGATTGAGTTCCAGTTGCAATCCCCGCCCCCTCTCCAAGCAGCACTCACTGTTACACTGGTCACAAGCGTAGATTCTCCCCTCCAGGGCCTCTGTCTCCGTAAACTTGGCCAGCATCTCAGTGAGCAGGCACTCTGTCTGATTCAAAGGGACAAACCCCTTCTCTATGCAGTGGTAGCGTTCAGGGAATTCCAGGGACAGATCCCAAAAGGGCTCAATGGTATTGGATTTATAATTGCATGACACACATGTAACCTGGAATGACAAGATTGGTTTGCAGATTATAGTTTTCATGCTTCCCACATACAACTGTGCTTGTTTTAGAGAAGACATATAAATTGACCAACCACTTCCCCCAAAAAGGTTAATGAGAACTTACATCACTTTACTAAAGGCACTGGAGCATATTATGCATGGCTACATTTCTAAGCATGCTGTAACTGCCTGGTTGTAACTGAGGAAGCACAGGCCACCCCTGCTTTCTTCTTCCCCTCTCTCCAATGAATGCTGCCTCAGCGGAGACAGCCAGTTACCTGGGGGCACTCTGGAACTGGCTGAGAACTGGCTGGCTCTCTGCTTTGTTCACACTCTGGAACTGGCTGAGAACTGGCTGGCTCTCTGCTTTGTTCACACTCAACTTCCTCTTCACTGGGTCCCTCTATGCAGCAAAGCCCTCTTTTTCCTCCTCCCTCCCTCCTTCCCTCCCTCCCTTTTCCCGCCCCCTTGTTCTTACTTTTATTTTCCTTTGACACAGAGTCTCACTGCGTATTCCCTGCTGGCCTAGAACTCATTACATAGCCCAGGTGGCCTTGAACTCTGGTTTCTCTTGCCTCAGCCTCTCAAGTGCTGGGGTGATGACACATGTCACCGTCACACCTACAGCATTCCGTCTGCAGTGCCTCAAAATGGTTAGACTTACTCTCTACCATAATATTCCTGGATGCTGTTCCACATGCAGAAAGGCGGGAGAGAGGCCTCAGTTTCCCTTCCTAGCCTACTCATCAGTCTTCACGATTGTAATAACTGAGGCACAAAATCTCTGCAACTCAGTGTAGGGGCTTTCCCCAAGTCTCCCATGTTGTCCACTCTTTATTTTTAAAAATTTGCACAAATTCTCTCTGTGCATATTTTTATGAGGCTTGGGAATCCTTGCTCAGGTCTTGACATGGTCTTGATCCCGAGAATGAAAGGTACTGAGGACATGGAGTCTGGAATCAGGCACTGGAAAGGTTGAGGCAGGAGGACCGGAAGTTCATTAGCATCCTCAGCTGCATAGTTAAAGCACACTGGGCGACTGGAGACCATACTTTGGGGGGTGGGGAGAGTTATGGGCAGCGGTAAGGAGGCTCGCTTGGTCTGAGGCATACTCCCAACTACTCCTTAGAAACGACTTTGGAAGCAGTGTTCTACACAAACTGTTCAGTTTTGTAAACTGGACCGATTAAAGATCTGGACAGAGAGAACACCCAAGTCCACCTACATGATCACCAGTGTACAGTGTCAGGTACAAGCAACCATTGTGAAACACGCAGCGTCACAGAAAACACTGGCTATACCAATTAGTCCAGGGATCTGGACGCCCAAACTACCACCCAAGCTTCCCACCTTGCTTTGGGTAGGTACACACCTACCTGACTGAGCAGCTGCCCGTGAAATATGGTGTTCACCACCTTTAAGACCTGTTTGGTGAGCTTCCTCTGGGAGAAGGGGATGAGGATCCGGCGCGTGGAGCCCTCAGACTCAAGTTCCTGCTGCACCTTGTGCAGCAGCTCGCAGAGAAATTCCTGTGCGTCCTGCTGGTCGTAGCCACGGAAGGCGGGAATGAGGCTCCATACTGAGTGAAGCATGGCAAAGGGCGACACCAGCGCCCACTTCCCAGACCACATGACTCGGAAGAGGGTGTGCAGTTCGTGGCAGAGGGAAATGTGCTTTGAGCTGGGTTCCTTGTTCTGAATGAGCTCCAGGCTCCTGCTGATGGAGGCTCCGCTGTTCCAGCAGAGGCCCTGAGGTTCACACCCCTGGGCCCGGTCGCTCCTTACTGACAACTCGGCAGCAGAGCTGCTGACCGGCCTGCCAGAGAGCTGAGCCTTCCCATTGGTTGCTTGGGGAAACAGGTGTTCGGAGGTGGAAGGGTCGAGGTTAAGGAAACATTCCCGGAACTTCTGGAGGTGGCTGAGCACCTGGAGGATGGAGTTCATGTAGCAGGTGTTGCCCAAGTTGCGTAGGCCGGTGACACCCGGGGCCACCGCCGGCTGACGGCGCGGCTTGAGGGCAGCGGCGGGCGCGCGCCGGGAGGTAGCGAGGGTAGCCGGGCGCACGGCCACGGGGCCGGGCGCGTGCAGGAGCAGGCGCGCACTCTTCCGCGGCGGCGCGCTGGCCAGCTCCTCCAGCAGCCGCCGCTTGACCTCGCGCCTCCGCTGCCGCGCCGCTTCCTTCTTGCGCTCCAGCGCCTCCTCCCGCCGCCGCTGCTCCAGCTGCGCGCGGCCCCGGGAGCTCTTCTCGAACCACAGCCGCAGCGTCTTGGCCAGCAAGCGCTGGCGCCGGTACCACAGAGCCGTGAGCATCTGCGGCTGTCCCTGAGGAGTGCGCTGCGGCGGGACCACGTCCTCGCCTGCAGCTGTGGACCGCAGCGTCCGCCCACGCCTCGCGGGCTGGTCCTGCTTCTGGCCTTGAACCGCCAGGAGGGAGCTTCTCAGCAGCTTCAGGTCCCCCTCGGGGTTGTCATTGAGCACGTAGTCCTTGCACAGGTAGCAGAACACGTAGAGATCCCGGACCTCCATGGCCAGCGGGTGTCCGGTCTCTTCAAAGTGTTTCAGTGCATGGTCTTCAATGTAGCGGCCGCAGGCCACGTGGGAGCACTTCAGGCAGGCCCATGCAGACTCTGTGGTGGAGCACTCCAGACAGCACCATTTCTGAGGGTTCAGGATGGAGTGGTCCTGGGCGAGCCGTAACCGCCCTACATGTTTGCATCTATCCATGTTTTAGCACAGTCGCCACTCTCTTAATCTGGCATCACGAAGCCCCCCAAAAGGAAAAAAAAAGAAGCAGAATTTCAGCAAAATATTTTCCTAGAATAAAGGGTTGCAATTGGCATTTCTATGCAAGACTTATTAGTTTTTAATTCAAAACGTGTCCTTTCGAAAGTCAAAAGTGGTATTTCAAGTACCACTAGGAGAGACACAAAAGCCTCAAAACAAAACCAACCCGACAGCCTTAGGTCAATTTCAGTGTATTTCAAAGCAAAGGCACAGAATAAGGGAAAAGATAAGAAAAACAAGGTCAGATGACACCTAAGGAGGCAGAGCCTGAGCCTAATTTAAGTACCATTTTAGAAGCTAGCCTTTCTGAAGAGAACACATTTTTGTAAAGAATGGCAAAAGTCTCACATCTTTACTGAAGAGTCAATACACAAATGAATCTGACAGGACAAGAGGAGGTGTGGCTATTGGGACCACAGTGTTCAAGCTAAAGACGCAGACACGAAAAACAAGAAAACAGAAGCAAGCTTGCTGCCCTTCCGTTTTGAGACTTACTCTGTAGCCCAGGCTGGCCCAAATTGGTGGTAATCCTCCTGCCCCAGCAAACAAGTGCTAGGATAACTGATCTCTAACATTGTCTTTTTGTTGTTGTTGTGTCTGCTGTTTGTTTGATTTTGAGACAGCGTTTCACTATGTACCCTGGCTGGCCTGGAACTCATATGGAGCCCAGGCTGGCCTGGAACTCACAGGGATCTACCTTCACTGCACCTCCAGTACAGGGATCACAGGTGTGCACCACCATGTCTGGCTTTTAATGTTGCTTTTTAATGTTCTTCATAAAGGAAATATAGTAGGCAACTTCTCCAAGGGAATTAAGCTGAACGAATATTTTAAAAATGTCTTATTCTTTGGAAACCTTAAGTTTTCCCAGGATTAAAAATACCCTAAAGGTGCCAATGGTGGCGTTGCACACCTTTGGTCCCCACACTGGGGAGGCAGAGGCAAGTGAATCTCTGAGTTCGAGGACAGCCTGGTCTACAGAGTGAGTTCTAGGACAGCCAGAACTACACAAAGAAACCCTGTCTCGGGGAGGAAAAACAATCCTACAGGCAGTTCTCTAAATTCTCAAGCTATCTATTTATTTATTTATTTATTTATTTATTTACTTATTTATTTATTTATTTATTTATTTATTTATGAGACGGGGTCTCGCTATTATGTAGTTCTGGATGTCCAGGAACTATCTAATCAAGATAATGATTTCCCTTGGAGTACTTGCTTCTATTGCATTATTTTTCTAATCATTATTCATTCTTACTCTCGTTATTTCCTACTGATTTATAGCTATGTGCCCTTTATCATTTCTCTAGATGTGTCTGTTCATTCTGACTAGACATAACCTTCTTTAGAGAGGAGTTCATGTATATTTGTTTTACTCCCTTATAAGGCCAAGACCTGAGTGTTCAACTATTGGTTGAACAGTATTATGAGGATGACTCTCTCTGGGGCTGGGGACATAACTCTGCCAGAGCACACGATTAATTCTCAACACTAGCGGGGAAAAGAATTATTCTCCCAGTGAAACAGTCCTGAAATAAGCATTTTTGGGGCACAGCCAAATTACAGCACACATAATTGAAAACTGAAAAGATGAAAGGGCAAATGATACTCAATGAGAGTGCAAGTCGGACACTACCAATGGTGCTCCAAAATCAACACTGGGGACACAGAATCAGCCATGAAGAAATGAAAGGGCAAACAATAAAACAGGAAACTGGCAAGTTTCCGTCCTTCAAATTCTAGTCCCTGAACTCCTAGCACCATCAGATTTCCTTAGGCTCCTAGCCATCACTTCCTACTTCCTACCTGATGAGTCAGGACCTGCAGAGGGCCTACATATCCATTTGAAACAACTCCAGGGATGAGTCTCTCACACATAAAACCCTATAAACACTGCCTTAACTCAACAAATTAGGGATGAAGAACTCAGGAACCAGTGAAGAATCCCTTCTCCAAAGCTCTTCCCACCTCCCCAAAGGCAGGGTCTCCCCAGGCAGCCTTGGCTGGCCTGGCACTTGCGATGTAGAGCGGGCTGGCCTCCAACTCATAGAGATGGTGTGCCTCTGCCTCCCAGGTGCTGGGGTTAAAGCCGTGCTCCACCATCCCTGGCTATTTTCTAAATTCTTCCACTCAGACCAACTCTGCCTGAAATGATAAAATATTCTCTCTTGCTTTCCAATACTGCAGTAACTCGTCACATGTGACTACCAAGCACTTGAAATGTGCCTAATGGGATTGAAGGACTGCAATTTTTTTTTTCTTTTCCCCAAGACAACAGGATTTTTCTGTGTGCCCCTGGCTGTCCTGGAACTAGGTCTGTAGACCAGGCTGGTCTTGAACTCATAGAGATCTGCCTGCCTCTGCCTCACGTGCTGGGATTAAAAGAGTGCACCACCACTGCCTGTCCAGCAGGACTGACCTTTTAACTCCATTGATTTTAGACAGTCACGAGAAGCTGAGCATGGTGTCTCGTGACTTTAATCAGGCCAGCCAAGGCTACATAGTGAGACCCTATCTTAAAAAAACCAAACAACAACAAAACAGTCACATCGGGCTAGTGACTACAGTCTGTGATAACACAGGCTTAACCACACCAGGACAGGCTGAGTCGAGGCTTTCGGATTCATATGGGAATGGCCTCCTCTCACAAGATCCCAATGCCCAGCAAATGCCCATTTTGCCCTGGTGTGTCTTCAGGAAGTTAGCTGATGCCATGAAACACAGCACCAGAAGACTGATGTCTTCTAAAACCAGCTCCTGGGCTAAAATTAAATGGAGAAACAGCAGCAGCAGGCCCCACCCAAACAACCCACACTGTCTCTGTGGAGACCGTTGGAGGAAAAGGGCACTTGGAAAACCTTTCCTCCTGATCTCACGTTCGCTCTGTAAACTGCTGGTCGAACACATCTTTTCCTGTTCACTTTTTCCCCATCACACATCTGTAGTGGCGACTCACAGCCTGCCACACGACAGTGCACACCGATTGCCTCAGCTAGGCAGACTAGCTTCTCTAAAGGACAGCACATCTGATCTCAGGAAGGACGTCCCTAGGTGAAATGAAAGCACTCCCTCGTGCAGTGTGAGGCAGGGCAAAAGGAGCAGAGCCTCAGTCGTGTGATTCCCCCACACGGGCTCTGACCACCTTAGCTCAGAACAGGCTAACCCACTAACAGGAAGGGCAATTCTACTTGGTATTTGTCTGACACGTACATCTTCCTCTTCATAATCCCAAAGGCCACAATAATTCTAAATTTTCACTAGACACACACATCACCCAGTGACAGGTACTCGATAATCCAAACAGATGAACCTGCGTGTAACAGTGTCTCAGCAGCTCTGTATTGTTGAGGAGATCAGCCATTTTATTTATAAATGCCCTGCACACCCTGCATTCATGTGTATATGTGAAAGGAAAGCCAGCAAGTATTAGCATTTGACTTTTAATCACCACAGATTGCTTATTTACTTTTTTTTTTTTTTTTTTTTTTTAAGGCAGGGTCTCACTCCTAGTTCAGGCTGTCCTTGAACTCAGCAATCTTTCTGCCTGTCAAATGCTGGGATGTCCTAGTTAGGGCTAATATTGCTGTGATGAAACACTATGACCAAAAGCAACTTGGAAAGGGTTTATTTCACTTACACTTCTGGGTAACAGTCCATCACTGTGGGAAGTCAGGGCAGGAACTCAAACAGGACAGGAACCTGGAGGCAGGAGCTGATGCAGAGGCCATGAAAGGGTGCTGCTTACTAGCTTGCTCCTCATGGCTTGCTCAGCCTGCTTTCTTATAGAATCCAGGACCACCTGCCCAGGGATGGCATCACTAACAATGGGTTGGCCTGTTGGGTCCTCCTACATCAGTTACTAATTAAGAAAATGCCCTACAGGCTTGCCTGCAGCCTGATCTTATGGAGGCATTTTCTCTACTGAGGCTTCTTCCTCTCTGATGATTCTAGCTGTGTCAAGTTGATATAAAACTAGCCAGCACATGGGGTTATAGGCATAAGACACAATCCCACCACCTCATTTTATTTAAAAAACTGAAGTAAAGCCTGTAGGTTTAGTTGAGTGCTCTGCTTAGCAGTCTTGATGCTTTAGATTCAGTATTCTCAGTCACCATGGAGGGAGAGGAAGCCAAAAGCTAAAGCAGCTGAGTATAAAAGTAGAATCAATGCTTTAAATGATTCCATAATTAACTATCCCTAGGTGTCAAATAGAATGTTAGCAAAACCTCAACCATTGCCTTTTGTTCTGATGAGAAACTTCTAGACTTATTACATGATTTAAAAATGGTTAAAGATTTATTTTATTTTTAATTATATGTATGTGTAAATGACTATGGAGGCTAGAAAGGGAAGCTGGATGCCCTGGAGCTAGAATCCAATCTGTTGAGAGGTGCCAGATGCAGGTGCTGGGGACTTAACTTGGAACCTCTGGAAAATCAGGAAGCACTCTTAACCACTAAGCCATCTCTCCAAGAGATGATGAACATTATAAATTATCATTGTTTAAAAAACAAGACAAAAACCCTAGAGAATGAAAATGTCTTTTAATTGGATTATTCCTATTATTCTCACACCAAAAATGTGTTTGCAATGTGTAACTACATCATCAGAAATTTTCTTTCTTTTTTTTTTTTTTGTTTGTTTGTTTTTGTTTTTTTGGTTTTTCGAGACAGGGTTTCTCTGTGTAGCTTTGCGCCTTTCCTGGATCTCGCTCTGTAGACCAGGCTGGCCTCGAACTCACAGAGATCCGCCTGCCTCTGCCTCCCGAGTGCTGGGACTAAAGGCGTGAGCCACCACCGCCCGGCTAATCAGAAATTTTCAATGAATAGGAAACAAATTAAGGAAATCTCTACAGGAAGATATCTCTCTCTCTTAATTTTCTTTTTCAGTTCTTACCTAAGGACCAAGGAATTCCTCCTTGGTGAGACCAAATGGCATATATCCCAGCTCAGAGAGAGTAGACACTAT